TGCAGTGGGCCATCACCGAGAAGAACGTGCGTTTCCAGATCATGGCATGCACCGACAACCAAGGGGAGATTGCCTGGCTCAACCAATTTGACCACGCTTTTGACCAAGTCGACGTGACGGACGACTACCACTCGGAGAGGAAGGAAGTACTCGGCGCCGGTCGCTGCCAGGCATTCAGCCGCGGCGATTGGATCATCAAGGCACTTCTGGGCCCCATCGACTCACGCTTCGACTGGGCCGACGAGAAGCCCAAGGGACCCAACGGATGCTGCTGCATCTGCTAAGAGGTATTGATGGGGGACCATGTTCGAGGGATTTCCGCCATTCCGCCGACCCCCAGAGGGGGAGATGTGCTTCCAATTTCGTATCCCGCCGTGCTTCGTACGTGCAGCTGCTGCTCATTCGTCATCCTCTTCCTCCGCGCCTGCTGCGGGTCTCCTCGGTGTCCTAGGACTCATGGGACCTCAGTGAGGCCGAGAATACTCCTGCGACTTTTGGGGGGGGACTGGGGCTTTGAGGGGTCCTATCAGGGGCATGTTGAGTGTCTTGGGCGCATCGTGGGCCGAGCCTTCTTGAGGTCCTTTTGGGCCGTCTTGGGCCGTCGGGCCGTCATGGACTTTCGGAACCCCGAAAAGGCGAGGACGCGAAACGCATTCAGCAGTGTTCGGAACATCAGAAGGGTCTTGTCCCGCAGGGCCCTCTTTGGGGCTCTCTTGGGGCCCTCCTGGGGCGCCCTGCAGGTGTCTTGGGCCGCGGTGGTCCCGAGGCCCCTCTGGCGTGTGATTGCCCTTCTCAAGTCATCTTAGAAAGGCATTTGGGGCATCTTGGCGCCCGCAAGAGGTGGACTTGGAGGCTGCGAGTTCCCCCGAGGTACAGTCAACCATGGTAGTAAGGATGGGGCAACTTTCCAAGGCTACCCTTGCATCCTTGCCCCTTCGGTATTCGGCATCCTTTGGTATTCTGCTGCGCTCCGCACGGGAAACGTCAACACGGCGTTCCAAGGCCCTTGCATCCTTACCGCGCATCCTTATTATCCTGGTCGAGTGTACGCCGGCGAGCTCGAGCCCCCCCTCTACTTGTAAGTCGTGCGTGTCCCTCTACAGGAGGAATATTAAAAGATTGTCGCAACGTCGTCTGTGGACGATGCTTTTTGCTACTTCTGGGTATTTTTGAGTACCTGTTGACTATTTTTAATATTTCGCCCCAAATCCGCTTGAGAGAGGACATGCCCGACCTAGCTCTAATGGGATTTGGGGCCCCAGGGGAGGGGGAAAGGGACAGGGAGCAACCAAATGACTCACGAGCCTTTTCACCACTGGCAAGCGGGGGTCGGCGGATTACGTCCCGTTAGGCGCACTGCTAAGTCAGACGCTTAGCGGACACCACGCATGCCTGTTCTTTCAAGTCGTTCAGTTTGCAGGCCTGGGCTCGGAGGGGAAGAAGTTGGCACTGACACCAGCGTGGTATCGTGGGTCGTCTCCACTGGAGACCTCCCTATTTTGGTGGTAGTAGGTTCAGCCAGGAGTCTTCAGCATTTCCACCAGCCCCAAGATCGGGCATCCTCTTCCCCAAGTCGAGGCGACCCTTGGCATTGGTGCTGGTGGCAATTTCTGGACCTCGAATCTGCCCACGCATGGCAGCCCCAGTGCTCCTACGAAGCTGCACCTGAGCCTGCGGCCTGGGGGAAGCCCGCCCGGGCTAAAGCAGGGAGCGGCCCGCTGGCAGAGGCCCCGCGAACAGACGGGCGAGCCCCATCCCGCCTGGCAAGTGGATGGGCAAATTTTCCACCACCAATACCATATGTAGCACGGGGAGAAGTGAGGACGAGGAGGTCCTCCTCCTCCTCCTCCTCCTCCTCCTCCTCCTCCTCCTCCCTTTCCTACTTCTCTGGTAGCGGTGGTGGTGGTGGAAAATGGGCCCATCATCTTTTATAGAGTCTGCGCGGCCTCGGGAGTCGCGCACTTCCTGCCTGGCGCCCCTTCGTCCAAAGGGACGGTGTGGGCCGGGGGCACCCTGCACAGGCGCAAAGAACACCGACGGCACCGGTCGGGAGGGCTGAGCGCACTGGTGCCTGCCGGCTCTGGAAAAGGTCCATCCGGGGCAGCGTTGGGTGGGATACGCTCCGGGGTGGATGCATCGGCCCTCCATCGCCCATGGATCGCCGATGGGGGCCCGATAGCCCACCCCGCGCAGGAACGTGCGATTCATCGCCGATTCAGTCTCGATGTTTCACCCCGTGGGCCAGGCCCCCCGATCGCAGCCCCGTGCTCTTCAGCGCACGATTCGTGGCGGTTTGCCCATGCTTGCACGCACATCCAGAACTGATCCCAGGCAGTTCGGGGCAGGTGAACGCGGCATGTGTCCTTCATTTACAGTCCCTGGAGGCCGGTGCGGGGTCCTGGTGTCTGAGTTGAATGTAAAGATCCCTCCTCCCTCTGCTCCGCCTCCTCTTCCGCACAGGGAGCACGCGCGCGCGCTCCTTTTGTCTTGTCCGAGGGGACGGATGTTGAGTGGCAACACGAGACCGGAAAACCACAACCACGATTCGCACAGGAAAACAGATGTAGGTATGTGTCATTTGTGACACAGACTAGAACCGCATCGAGAGTGGAAAATGTTTGTCGCGAAGCGCACCCTCGCCGACGATGCCCCTCGTATGCGTGATGTGGATGACAAAACTTTCCACGCACGCGTGGGCGTGCCCTGACTGGCCGCGGCGCGGCCAGCCCGGCCGCCGCAGTGGGGCCCGTTGGCGCCCCCGGCCTGGGAGGAGCGGGAGGCGAAGCCGCGCTTGTTGGTCTGGGCGGCGCGGCCGTTGCCGCGGGCGTCGTCGAGCTCGTGGCCGCGTCCGAGGCGCTGCGAGGCGCGGGCGGGCCCGTCGGGGGTGGAGGTGGAAGCGACGCGGCGCCGTGCGGCGGGGCGGCTGGCTCTGGCGGGGCGAGTGCTGGCCGGGAGGTTGCGGCGGAGGCGCCAGCCCGCGGTCCGGCCCTGTACACAGCCCTTCGGCTGGTGTGCGGGCGTGGACCTGGGCGGCCGCTGGCCTTGGCGGCGCGGGCGCTAGCGGCCGAGTCGGCGGCGCTGGCGGGACGGGTGCGTGCGTGGTGGCGGGAGTGCTGATTGTGGAAGTTGTGGTTATCGGTTTTGGAAACGGAGGCATATTTTTTCGGCTTCCAACGGCACTTTGATGTCCTGTCGAACCCACGAAAGACGAGGGATTCGCGCTTCAGCGGAAAGCAGCCATGTTACAATCCCGGGTGCCGTGCTATCGTTCGCGCAGCGCACCAACGAATGCGAAATTTTACGGGTACGACGTCTTGCTACATGTTTGAAATTATTGACGCTGTTCGCTTGGCTCGCACACGCCGTTGGCGCGGCCTGGGCTTGGCGCCACACTGGCGTCGGCCCATCGCTTACCACGTCTGGACACCCCCCGACGGCATGTTGGACACGCAGCCCACAGCTATCGTCCTCACGCTCCTTCGGGTTTTGCCACTCGGCACATCTTGAATTCACCAGCATTTTGCCGTGTTGCAAGTGCTTGAGCACCCTGGGCGCCCCCAGCTTGCCGCTCCTCCCGCGCAGTCAGCCGCTACTGTATGAGTGGGCCGGCCGGCTTGCGGCGCGTTTAGCTGCTAATCAGGCCGTTGTCGTGACCCGTAGCGCTCCTGACTCCGCTTGCGCCTTCGCTTGCGGGCGCGACCGAAAAAAATATCCCCACCAGGCCTGCGCTCTTCGCTTGCGGACGCGACCGAAAAAGTATCCCCACTAGCCCCCTCAGCTGCAGCCCCGCCGGCAGCCGCTTCTGAGTGCTGGCCTGGCCGTCTCGCTCGAGGCTCGGTAGTTAATGGTGCAGGACCGTGCCCCGGACCTCCCCTTCGGCGACAGCGTTACCGCGTCAGCCCGCGAGGAAACAATTATCCCCACCAGCCCATCCACAATTGATTGCCAGTTTTCTTGAGGCCTCTTGGAGGCTATCTTGAGCCATGCTCGGCTAGAGGCTGCCGGAGGCTATCTTGAGCCATGCTCGGCTATCGTGGGCCATCTTGAGGCTGCCTTGAGGCCTCTTGGAGGGCTGTCGGAGGCTATCTTGAGCCATGCTTGGCTATCTTAGGCCGTGTTGAAGGCCATCTTGGGCAATCTGGGGCTCTCTTGGATCCGTCTTGGGCTAAAAAGGGCGGGGTGGAGGGTCTTTGGCAGAGGCAGGGATGCCTCTTGGGGCCATCTTGGGCCCCATGGCTCAAAAAGAAAGGGGGAAGCAATTCGCCCCCCCCCCCCCCCCCCCCAGGAGGCTCTCGAACGACATCTTGGGGCCCTCTTGGAGCGCTCTTGGGCGCCTCTTGGGCGATTTTGGGGCCGTCTTCGGCCTGCTTGGGCTCCTCTTGGGCCTCCTTTCGGCCATCTTGGGGCCATCTTGAGGCTTCCAAAGCCCATCGGAAGCGAAGAGGCGATAATGCCAAACACACTGATTGTCCTTAGGCTTTTGAGCGGTTTTGGCATCTTGGAGGGCGCCGTGGAGGGTTCGAAGGGCACTTGGATCCGTCTTGGGGTTTTCTTGGGGCCTCTTGGGGGTATGTGGGAGGCTATATTGACACATCTTGAAATAGCATGGGCCATCTTGGAGGCCATCTTGCGACTTCGAAGCCCTCTTGGAGCAATCTTGGGCCATTTTGGACGCTCTAACGCCTCCGAGCCCCCCCTTCCTGGCCCAGGGGAGGGGGTAGGGGGAGGGGGTTCAGTGGAAGAGAGAAGCAACAACGCGCTAGACCACCTAAGCCCAGAGGGTTGGTGGGATTTGGAGCTACTCGTATTCGGAATCAGTACCACGTCGAGACCGAAGACTAAGGGCAACCAGTTGCAATCATCAGCCGTGCTGCTACGAACGGCCACGTATATCCTCTTGCAGTCCGATTACCTCCAGTAGTACAACTCGCACGAGTTCCAGTGCCCTCCAAGAGTAACCACTACAACAGGTCCTGGATCTATCGCCGCTGTTACCAGGA